CGTGATCGCCCTTTGTCGGCCTAGAAAGAATCAAGATCAGTACGCAGACTGCAGAAATTGACAAACAAGGTTGCGAGGATCTGTGCTTTCTGGACCTAGAGTTCAAGCTGAAGCAAAACGAAAATAGGACTCTGAATTGAATGCAACTCACGGGAATATGCACAAAGACGAGGGCGGGCGGAACTTTCCCCCACTGCGAGGCATGCCGTTCACTCGGCATATATAGAGAGGACGAGAACGCACCACTCGCGCCATGATCTCAGCCTGCTGCTCGATATACGGCGGCACCGTGTTCTCGTCGACCCAGTAGTAGTTCGCAGCCTCGGGTACGGTTCCTATCGACGAGTTATGCTAACCTGGTGTGGTTCATGGAAAACTACGACAAACCAGATCCGCTCCCATCTGGGTCCCCGGGCACGAACGACCGCGAGTCGAAGAACCACATAATCACAGCGGGGACCACGTCGGCCGATTTCGCGTATACGGGGATCCCTGAACATGAGGTGCGTCTTTTCAATTGTATGCCATGCAAGGGGTGCCCACAATAATTGCCCAACCCGTAAGGCTTGGGCCCGACATCGGAGCGGGTATAAGAGAGCGTCTTTCCGTAGTGTTTCTGTTCGTATCTAAGGAATCGATGAGCTCAACCGAGAGGCAAAAAAAAACCAACTCGATCTCGTCTTGATGGTTAATATGGTCCTGCGCATTGATCAGCCGCGCAACGGAGCTCAGAACTCTAAAACAAACCGCGTTATCATGCTAGGTTCTTCATAAGTGAGTTCTCGCAGCAATAACAATGGCACCAACATTTCCGTGCGTCGAGGAGAACGGAATACCCCGGTTCACGGTCGGCGCGAACAGGACGTCCAGATACTTTGTGGCGTTTTCCGGGAATGTGTTTTCCCCTGTTAAAGTTCCGACCAGTGGTCATGTTAGCAGGATAGAAGCCGCGGCATAATTACCTGTAATCAAATCGCCGTTGAAGACGCTGGAAAAAAAAAGATACAGTCAGCGTCTGCTAGCCATTCAACTCTAACTAGAAATCCACGTACACATATCTCGGCCGCTCGTTATCCAGCACAGTCGCATGCACAATCGAGGTATTCACATCTTGCTGTGGGCCCCAATCTTAATGATATGCAGTGAGACGGGCGCGCACTGGAAATATAACCAAGGCACGTACCGACATCCTCGCCCTCGCCCATGTGCATGTCCGAGAAGGACACAACCTGAAAATGTTTACATGTACTAGTGGCAGTCGTACGCGGATCAACGCACCTTGAACTTGCCGTGCCCATCGAACGTGAGCTTTGGTTTCCCGCTGAGAACTTGAAGACCAGCAAGCCTGCACGACAGTGGCAGTGGGACGCCGCTGACCGTCAAGGTGACGCTCCGAGTCCATGCTACTAGTATTAGGAGGAGTCCTTGCACTGAGTCCAAGAACATGGCAGTCGTGGCGTGAAGCAAGCAGCAAAGTTCGCCGGTAATAGGATGGCTTTCGAGTTGATAAGCTAGCAGCGCACGTTCCTTCAGGCTTCCGATCCCATGACATTTCTTCGACAACATTGAGAAGGCGAATACATTGTTCAGACGGCCATGTTGGAGGATTGACATTGATTGAGGTCGTGTTGGTTGTTTATCGCGCCTGGTTTGCATACATTATGAGGTCGTGTTGCCAGTGGTTGCGAAGAAGTGCCAGTGATGCGTAACTTGAAATCGGCCGAAAGCGCCGAACAGCCTCTTTTGACATGAACGAACACCTACGGACATTCAACATTCGCAGAATGAGCGGACAGATGGCATTGCAGGGCGATTTAAGTACGAGGTCAGCACACGAGAAGACCTTATCCTTCCATGCGACGCGTCGAAATGGACCGATCTGTCGAACTATACAGTTTTGCGGGAATCGCCTGCTAGGAACGAAGAGTCAATGTCCGACAAGCTGCTGCGCTGCAATTTTGCTCTACTGGAACGAGCTCACAGCAGGTCACGCTACGGTTCATCAAAAACCCTTTCGCCACCACCATCAACAACTTCAAGCAAAAGATTTACGCCTCTGGGCTCCTCGGCGGCGCATCATACGCCATATGGTATGGCTAGACAACGCGGACAACGTGATATGTGGGTTCCACACTTTCCATCACCAGCTGGCGACAAAACACACATAAAACACATAGTGGGATCCTAGGGTCCCAGCAGCCGCCGTAGAATCGATGGGCGCCAACCCATCGCGCCCTGCCTCCTCCGGAGCGCGCATCCTCCGCCGAGGATCCACTCGCGCACCGCCTGCAAACACAGAGTCGGCTCTCGAGATGTTGCGCAACTTTCAAACGGTTCTGATCGTTGATGACTCTCGGTCCATGAAGGGAGACCTCTGGAAGCAGGTGCGTGGTGGGGTATGAAAAATCCTGTTCATTGCTGAATTGGACTCAGGCTGGCAAGGCACTGCAGGACCTGGCTGCTGTTGCATCTGAATACGACACTGATGGGCTGGAGATCCATTTCATCAATTCGCCTTTGTGCGCAAAGCAAGTCAAGGTATGTAATCTCCCGTTCGTCTGGTCGAGCGCACCGTCACGACGAAAATACAGACCGCGGAACAGGTGGAAGACATCTTCAACAGTGTCACTCCTACCAACTCAACGCCCATCGGACGAAAGCTACACGCCCTCCTCGCTGAATATCTTGCGGCGCTGAAGAACGACCCTGACCTCAAGCGCGTCAACTACATCATTATCACGGACGGTGCCCCAAGTTCGTCTTCCACTTGTTTATCCCTCCTAAATAACCACGACCAGCCGACCGATCCGAACTAGAGCCAGAGGCCGTCATCGTGAATGCTGCGCGGCATCTTGACGCGATGCACGCATTCATGACCCAGGTCGGAATACAGTTCGTCCAGGTAGGTAACAACGAAGCGGCGACCCGATATCTTGAGTCCCTTGACAATAACCTCCGAACACGTTATGATATTCGGGTACGTGATGTCCATCCTGTTTCTCAGCTCGATATTCAGCTGGGAGCAGGATATCGTCGACACGACCTTCGCCCCGGTCGACAAACCTCTGGATATGATTAAAATTCTCACCGGAGGGATCAATCGCAGGGTCGACGAGCACGGTTCAAAGGCACTCTGCCCTTGAACATTCATGAAATATGCCACGAGAGAGAAAAAACATGTACGACCGCATGAGCCCATGATTAACGTTCACAACCTCGTGCACGACCATTTCAGCACTCCAGCGTCTGTCACACTGGCACTCGTCAACATATCCGCCGGATGGCTTCCCGGATCCCCGCGCTTGACCAATATAGCTTCCGCACGTACGCTCTCTTCAGGAAACACCGACTCCCACATCTCCACCCACGACGCCGCAGAGTGGCAGAAGCCCTCGCTAGCCATGACGCCTGCCTGGCGGAACGGCCGTGCTCTCATCCCCTTGACTTCTCTGCTGACGTGTGCGCCGAGAATGAGCGAGCCAGGTTCAGGAGATAACAAACCCTCGAGTATACGCGCCAATTCGAGCTGTTTTTCCTCGGAGAAGAGATGGAAGAGGTAGGAAACGTGGATGACGGAGAGGTGTTTGTTGAGCGGGGTCAGCGACGTGAGTGTGGATAGCGTCGGTGGAGTTTCTATCTTCGTTCCAGGGGCAAAGAAATCTAGGTCAAAAATATCGCCCGCGAGAAACTTTATCGGCAGAGTTTCTGGCGTGGATCTGAACAACTCGTGGCCATAGTCCCAAAACTCTGCGAACCACAGACACGGTAAGTTTGGAACATTTCAAATTTATACAATTCACACCTTGACGAAGGTCGCAGCCGATTAGATTCTGAGCTGGGAACCCATCCGCCGCGAGTTTCCGCAAATCTGTGCCAACTAGAAGCCAGCTCAAGCTCTCAAGCTTGCTTGAGTTGTGACTAAAAACGTACAGCAACATCCCAAATCGAGACCCAGCGCATCTGGACGCTCCCGAAGCAACGGTAATATCTGAGGGTACGCCGGCAGGCGGGAGATTCGCAATCTGACAAATATTCAACGACTGCAACTTCAACGCGTCAATCAACTCACCTTGCAAACGAAAACGAGCGAATACACGGATATCCATAGACCTATACGCGCCATCACCACACCAGAAGCCGACTGGAGTCGCTGAAGAGACCTTGTAAGCTTTCGCTTGGATCTCCAGGACGTGTTTCTTCAACTCTTCCGAGTCCTGTATCCCGATTTGCTCCCTCAGAAAATTAATCTCAGGATCGTCGATCTACAGGGCGGTAAGTAGACATGTTCAGCGCTCAGTCGTGACAAACCTGGAAGGTATCCCACATAGTCTCGTCCAATGGCGGAAAATAGGGTGCTTCCTCCATGATTTTGCCGTGGGTTCTGAGTTCGTGAACATGCCCTGCTGTTTATATATTCTCTGCGGCCCCGGTCCGGCGATCAAGGTAAAGCGGATCCTGTGCCTGGTAGGTTTACACGGAGTTGCCGCCTGACCTCTGTGCGAATGTCTTTGTGAAAAATTTAGGCTGAGAGGAAGGAAAGGAAGACTGATGCTTTTTGCGGCGCCGGGGAACTCTTCACCAAAAATAACAGATTTCGATCCTCTGGGAATTAGTGTTGGCTTAGTTTTCATTGCATAGTATCGAGTAAATTACTCGTCGGGGCGCTGGGCGGTTGTGGTTCGCCGGCAAACGGACCTGATTTGGCCTGATTTAATTTTGAACCAACCCCAGCATTTTGGCTCCCATTTGCTCAGTTTTTCCTTGTTTGACCTGAGTTTTTGGCAAGGAACCCTCGGACGATTCCTCGAGGGCCCTGACCATTCACCGGAGCCGTAAAAGAAATTGGTCCCTCAAACGATGGGTGGACATACCAAGATCAGGTGTGCAAGTTGCGCAGGCTCGTGTGGGCTCAGTTCTTATGCGGTAAGGCCAGGATTTCGACGGAATATGGCACGGAGGACTGGGCAAAAGATAAGACTGTGGTGCGGGTGCAAAAGATGTGCGTCCGCCGGGAGTCGAACCCGGTGCTAGGCCATTATTCACTCCGGCAATATTTTTGAGAGTGTACTGGGAAGACCCAATGTTACCGATACACCACGAACGCGTTAGAAGAGGTCCGGAGCAGTCAGTGAGGAGTCCATTTGTGAAAAGAACGAAGGAATCGCGAAAAGAATGGAGGAATTACAGAATCAGGACGTAAAATGGCACATTCTTGCTGACCCCGTTCAGTCATCGCCCCAGACTTTTCACGGAATCCGTTTGCATGATAAGAAACTACAATCCTAAAGAGAAACCTAAGAGAACGGTCGAAAGCTCGCGACGAACGAAGGTTCCCAACAGATCAAGCAGGTCACGACAAGGTCACGATGGTAACTGATGGCCTGGCACCACAACCACTCAGCAGTAAGAGAGAAACTGGGTGCAGATTCGGAATCTGAGAGGTCAATAATGGTGGGCTAGCATTTTTCTGGAAGCCATTTGCATGCCTGGAAGCTGAGATAGGTCGATGCAATCTGAGCTTGATGCAGATCAATCAGATGGACCGGTAACCTTCGTTCGTCGCGAGTTTTCGACCGTTCTCTTAGGTTTCCATTCGAGATTGTAGTCTGTTATCATGCAATAAATCTTGCGAAAAACCGAGGGCGATTAACCAAGGGGGTGCATTCCAACGGATTTCTGTCTGTATGGGTGGAATCACTGGCAGCCGGCGGCGGCTGGTCAGAGGTCAGAACACCATAACGTATTGCCTATTGCAAAAAGTGTGCGCCTGCCGACTCGAGCTCGGGCTAGGCAGTCACTTCGGAAATTCTTGGAGGGTTTCCCGTTACAATTACTTACCGTTACACCACGAACGCAATCAATTCGGAAATTCTCGCAGGAACAATTACTTACTGTTACACCACGAACGCAATGACTTCGGAAATTCTCGCAGGGTACAATTACTTACCGTTACACCACGAACGCAATGACTTTGGAAATTCTCGCAGGTACAATTACTTACCGTTACACCACGAACGCGATCACTTCAGAAATGCAGGTACAATTACTTACCGTTACACCACGAACGCGATCACTTCAGAAATGCAGGTACAATTAGTTACCGTTACACCACGAACGCCCTGTAAGGTACACTGTATAAGCGCAGTATTTGCACAAGAACTGCACAGAATTAAGCAGAGGGTCCGAGTCTGCATCTCGCTGTAGAGGAATAAATGTCGCGGTAATCTAAAAATTTTGGTACACAGTAATACAAAGATAAGATATAACTTGAAGGCTTGTAGTTTGACAAACCCATTCAACTACCAAACCATTAGCAAAGAGCGCCAATTGTCGGCGGTCCAGGCGACTTGACCTGCGATCGAGCACCTATCCATGCACATGATGCACTGCCAGTGCCTCCGCAAGATCGTACTTTTTCACCATGCTTCGTCCCTAGACGCACTACCACACACAAACTCCCTGCTCTACGCCGACACAGCGACCGCCTGCGGCCCAGATCGCACGCGACTACGACTCCTGCTCCTACTCCGATTGCGCTGCCACCATCGCGGGGACCGTTCGGGAGTAAGGTTGTGATGCGCAAGGGACGACGCCGACGAATGGTCCGAGCTGATGAACGAACTCGCAGAGGACGAGAGAGACGGGCTAACGGCGCTGGCAGCGACCAAGCGGGTAAACGGACTGACGAGCCGCGGGTCGCAGACGGGTGTCGGGTTGAAGATTGCCTCGATGAGAGACTCTGTGGGACGAGGACCGTACGCAAGGGTGAGCCCAGTGGTTTCTTCCGGGGGAGCATACAAGTCCAGGGCTCGCGGACGCGTGCTGAAGACCTCGCTGTGCGTCGTCAGCAACGACGTGAGGCCAGCGAGAATTTCTCCGTGAGGAAGCGGTGGGGCGATAAACGGGGGTGGTGTTGTCGCGACGGGTTCTACGCGGATGGAGAGACGCAGCGTGGCATTGGTCTTGCTGTCGCGGAGGAGATAGCGGCGGTTGACGACGCCTTTCGGGGATCCTGAAGCAGGCACGCTGTCCGTGTATTCAGCCAGGTCAATGTCGACGGCGCCAAGACGGGGGTTTCGTGGAGCGTTTGGGTCGCCAGTAACAACGCGTTGGAGAATGGTTAGTTTGAAAGGATGCGGCAGCAGTTCATGCGAGTCGCGGTCGATGGACATTTGCACCAAGACGGATAATGGATGGTCCCAGGTGACAGAATGGTCGCGGAGAGGCTGCCAAGGAGTCTGGCCGCGTGCAGAAGTCGTTTCTTCATCTCCAGCGAATAGCAGTTCCGCGGCAATGGGATCCTCCTCCGAACCCAGAGTCGACGTCGACGACCCTTCCTGACTATGCTCCGGCACCTGCAACACATCCTCGTCCCTCGTCCGGCCCTTGACCTTGACCTTCTGGGTGTTCTTGAACTTCCACCGCGCAGAAAACTCGCCGTGAACTAGTGGCACGCTCGCCAGCTGGTGGATCTGGATGCGGACCCGGAAGACAGCGTGGCGAGGAAGGAGGTGATGCAGCTGGGCCTTGAGTCCAGTGGGACGCAGCTCGTCGGTCATTGGAGGGACATGCGAGTGGACAGGAGCCAAATTTTATGCTCGGTATTGGAGCGGCTGTCAAGACATGGCACATAACATAAGCGCCCACAATGACGTGTTGGCATCATTTCTACATCTAGGGCTTCACAACAACCTTGAGCGCCGTCTTGCTCTCCAACTTATCCAGCGCCTTCTGGTAATCATTTACCGAGAAACAATCCGTCACCTCGAGCGCGCATCAGACATGCCCCATGGCGATCTGCCCAAGAGGACAGCTTGACTCACCATGCCCTTGACTCGCACCTTTCCGCTATCCAAATATGCCACCGCCCGGGGGAAACAAAACGTCTGTGCAAAGGAACCAATGATCTGGAAATGCCAGTCAGATTGGATGGACAAGTCAAGATGGCAGGCGCCGACCTTGATCTCGTCGCCGAATATCTTGGATGGTGGCCAATGGACGAGTGCGTCGTTTGCATAGACTCCGTATACCATCAGCGTCCCGCCCCGCCGGACAAAGTTGATGCTCTCGTTGGCCACTGCTTCAGAACCAGTCGCTTCGACCTAGAGATCCTAAAAAAAAGTGACAAAGGGAGTACTCTCGACACATACGACAGCATCGAATCCATACGGGTACGACTCTTTTAACGCCGACCACGCTGCGCCGGGAGACTCGCGGTTAATCTCGACATACTCATCCGCAGCATCCAGCTGGCGCGCAATCTGCGTCTTGATGCCCTTGTTCGCGGCAATAACGACGCGCGCAGCGCCGTTGAGCTTTAGCAGTTGCGCGAGGATGAGGCCAGTCGGTCCAGAACCGAGGATCAGGACCTCTGCGCCGACAGGGAGATTGAGTTTGTCTGCACCGTGGACAGCACATGCGGCGGGCTCGACAAGCGTCGCTTCCTCGTCTGTAAGATTGAAGATTTTGTACACCTTCTTGCTCGCCCTGTTTGCTTTCTCAAGTCCTCCAGACGCGTATACTGAGCCAGCACTCACACAGTGACATATTCCGCAAACCCACCCGCCTGTGTAACGCCCAAACTGGCAAAGTTCTCGCAAAGCAGCGACTGTCCACGACGGCAGTAGAAGCAGTTATCGCACTGTCGTTCTGGTTGAGCCACTCCCAGTCTCAAGAAACGCCTACTGTTATCCCAGGATCCGCAACACATCTATCGCCCACCGAGAATCCAGTCACCGACTTGCCAACTTTCGAGATGGAGCCAACGATTTCGTGGCCGGGAATCAGTGGGAACCTCGCGATAAACTCGCCTGGGCGGTGTTAGAGAGCTCGCAGCTCCAAAAATGGTCGTCGTCCAAAAACCTTTCGCGATGTGACTGCAAACGGGGTTAGCGCGCAGGAGAATCGCTTCATAGACACGAACCTGTCGGTCCCACAGATGCCGCAGCACGAGACTGTACGTGCAGTCAGTTTCGTGTCCAGATAAATGAAAGGAGGACCTTTAATCTGGACCTGGTCGTCGGAGATGTCGGCAATGGGCGCGGACGCGAGGACCTCAAAGTTTTGGACCTGGGAGCGCGTTAAGCGTGTCGTTTGGTGTGAAACGCGAGGACTACGCCGTGGTAGTAGACTGCGTTCATGGCTGCAAATTTGCCAGCGAGTCCGATAAGGAAGAGGAAGAAAGCGAAGCCGGACACAAGGCGCGTGACGGTGTTACGGCCCGGGCCCGCTCTCTTCCGAGTCCGTCCAGCGAATGTCCAGCGAAGGATTCAAGATCTATGTCTATGTACTCGAAAGCTACAGATAAATATATAAGCAACAGCTATAGATACAGGCAACGAAAGCAAGTCGACTGATCACCACTTCCCACTGTTTGTCCGCGCAGGCCACGACGGTCGAGCAAGGATCCTGCCAGGCTCAAAAGGCGGGGCGCGGCCGGACAGCATCGACGAGTTGGAGCCGAGAGACGAGGAGGAATCGTTGGCACGCGCGGATGACGAGCGTTGGTGTGCTGGCGGTCGCCAAAAGGTGTTCCCATTGGAGCCAGATGAAGACGAATTTTGGCTGGGTCGTTGAATGGGTATTGGTGTGGGTCGAGTGAGAACGCCGGGAACGCCAGGTCGCGGTGCCCATTGCTGCGGATCTGGTTCATCGGGGCTCTCGGGAGAGTTTTGCGAGTACGCATAGCCCAACGGGTCGACCTCGATGCGCTCGATTTCCAGCTCGATCTCGCGCAGCTGCTCCTCGAGGTCGGGGATGACCGTCTCCAGCTTTTCCCGCTTCCCAGTGAGCTTTTCCATCTTATTGCCCAGTCCCGTCAGCTCGCTCTTCATCAACTCGAGCTTCCGCCGCTCCTTCTCTTCCTCCCGTTCTCGTTCCCTTCTTGCCCGGTCTGCGTCCTCCTTGACACGCAAGTACCCCTCCTCCCGTCCCGAACGCTCCCGCAACAGCGCTGGTAACTCCGCCTCGACCTGCAACACCATCTCCTCCATCTCCCGCGTCGAGATCTGGGCGCGTTTTGCCGCTTCTTGCAGAGCCAGCACCTTTTGTCGTGCCCTGTGCTCTGCAACCGCATGTTTCTCAGACGCTCGTTTGAGAATCTCG